TAAATGCAATAATTCATTAATGTATTTACATATATATTTTATTTAACATATGTATCCTCTTTAAACACCACAAGCTATTGGAATTAAAAAAGGAATCATAAATCATTAGTTGTCGTCGTTGCGCCGGCAGGAGGCATTTCCTAAATAAATTTCATGAATGCTGCTAGATTGACACTCCTTGATCGAATAACATATCGGGCGTTTCAGGTTACGGAAACCCACTTGTAGTTTGAAGAAACAATATTAAAAAAAAAAAAAAACATTTGTCTCATCAATCAGATTTTGCTAGTTAACTTAGACATAAGTTACCCACGCAAAGAATTTATTGTATTTCAAGTCTCAAGTTTTCAACATCAATACGAAAGAGGTTGGTATTTTCATTTGTCATTTCAGCATTGTAGAACTGGTCCACATTGTGTGAAACAAAACCTGGTAGAATGGAAGGTAGTGGTTATAACACTTTAATGAGGTAGCCTCATACTCTCTTCTACGAATTCAACTTGATAACTTTCTTACTTTTATGTAAATGCATAATTTTTGAGAAATAAACAGCGCTCAAAGATAGCGAGCAGATAAATAACAAATCGAATGCAGTTAATATATACTAAATGTATCAATCAAATTTACTCGTAAAATTTTTAGCAAATGTTTTTTTTTTTGTATTGTTTTCCTACTTTAATGTTCCTTAAAGTTTCAAAAAGATAATCGATAAAAACTTGGATATTCTTATACAAAAAAAGCTCTGCGCAATATTCGTTTCTTATCATATATAAGAAACAAAAAAAACAAAAAAAAAGGGTAAAATGGAGTAACTTTTCGGTTTCTTTTATCCTCATTGCGGTAGCGCACTGATATTTCGTTAGTCACGAAACGATTGAACTGTATCTACAAGTATTGCAGCACTTTGATGTCAGCACTGGGCCGACTAGTTAACAGATTTTTATCGACAAAAGATTAGGCAACGACTGTGTTGGCATTTTAAATTAAAATTTAGCGACTTTATGAAATAATGCAAGCTTTTCACCAAAATTCGATTATATTTGCAGAGGCTTGTGTGTAAACTAATCATAGTAATGCGCTATAAGGCTATAAGCCGTTATACTTAAATGCGAGTTTTGTGGCTATTTAGGTTTCAAATATATATAATAAATATACCAAATATGTATACATGTATATCCAAATATAGATATGTACATAATGTATATGTACATATGGTCCAAAAGTCATAGCATATTTGGGCATATATGTACTATATACGTACATATTTACAGGTGTGTCGTATATTTGTTTATGCATATATTGATTATGCTTTTCGCTCAAATGCTTATAGCAAATAACCGAAAATGTTTGCATTTCTATTAATGTCGAATTTCATTAGAAATAAATATTAGTCAAGCTTTTATTCTTCACGCACCCACACACATGTGCCCATATACCTATATTATCTAATATACACATTTAACATTAAATATAGTTGTGTTCTTCGGCGTGACTAAACCTTAAATTTAATTTTAATTTTATCATGAACCATGTGTAAACTACAAAAATGTTAAATACCTGGCTTAATAGAATGACTGATGAAGAGGAGCCAACAATGCTGTCTGTTCACCATATATACTACATATGTATGTATATGTGTGTGTAGTAGCATGCTAATTTCTATTTAAATAATTTTTACTTAAGTTTCTTTGCCTTTTAGTTGACATTGATGACGTAAAAATTTATTGATATGAATGTAAATTTGTATGTAAATACAAAATTTCTGAGTCTAACTTTTGTGTAAACTATTTTATATTTTGGTAATAATGACGCATAGATATTTATAGGCAAAACGACCTCAGTATTACGATTATTACATCATGTTTATTTGGATACACAAAAAGTATTTAAGAAGATTTTATAAGTACAATGCATGTGATTATAAACTTATGAATTCTATATGTTTCATAAATGACTAACATAATGGCTAGCGGCTTAGTCGCCTTCTCTAAGAATAATGCCCAAAAATATTACAAAAAAAACAAAATTTCTTTAGAGAATTGTGACTAGATGTTTAACATTGTCTAATTATTAAGCCTTTGTGTTTCGATTCATAGTTAGCTTGATTTAAATAAAGAAGATTGAAGTTAAGTCTTTCAGGCTGTAAATAGTTTAAGACATGTTTAGGAAATATTATTATATTAATAGTAATGCAATTTCAAAGCTTAGTAATGGTACATTTAAGAAAAGCCTTACATAGCGATATGTTATGTCCAAATGAATATGAATTTTATCGAACAAAAAAAAAATTTAAAACTGTCGAACTTTACACATCTTTTATTTCGTTAAGGGGTTATATCCGCTTGTGTTTTCGAAAAATCGGTGTTTTGCATATATATTGAATGTATATATATTTGAGATCATTCTCCAACAATTTGAAGTTGATCTGGCAAATAGTTTCGAAGATATGTATAAGCGCATTTGTAAGAACTCTGATTTAATTGACACGCAATTTTCACACGTCCTTTTTAGATATACTTGTCAGACAATGATCGAAAGAATAAAATTTTGAAGATAATAATTTCGATTTTTATGTCACCACTGAAGTGTATTTAAGCCATTAGTGAAGTGTCTTTTTCAAAACCATCAAAAATTTATATTGATTTGTTGACACCATTTGTTTAAAAGAAAAAGGCAGATTGAAAATTCGAAATTATCAAGTAACTTGAAAATAATAATAGAAAGGATATAAATAAATAGAAGAACGAAACAAAACACGGTCTTCTCAGAAAATACCCATTTCTGGCTTAATGGCTTCGTCAACAAACAAAATTGTCGCTATTGGGGTGAATCAAATTTTCGTTTGGTTCAGGAAACGCAATTGCATTCCCAACAAATTACCATTTGGTGCGGATTGTGGTATGGCGGCATCATCGGGCCTTATTTCTTTTGAAAAGACGCAAGAAAGGCCGTCACCATCAATTATTATTTTTCCTGTAATTTGATAAAAACGACGCGAACGATCTCTATTTCCCAGAAGACTTTGCGACGCGTCATGTTTCACGTCTAAACATGGGCACATTGCGTGCAAAGTTTGGCTACTCGTTAATTTCGATAAATGGCCCAGTCATATGGACGCCAAGGCTTTCTCTGAGGGTATGTTAAATCAAATATTTAAACCAAGCAACCAACAACGCTCGAGGAGCTCGAATACATCATTCAGCGCTCTATAGCTAATGTACTACACCAAAAAAAAAAAAGAACCCATTTTGACAAAACTTGAGTGTTTTATTTTATTCTAACATCACGCTGTTCTTGTTGGTATACCCTTTATATGGTATACGCAAAGTCTCGATATCGAGCATTGACACAAAGTGTTGTAACTCACTTTCCTTCCATAATTTCTACACTTCTTATCAATTTTACGACAAGAAACCATTACCTATATATATGTTTATTGGAAAAAGCTGAGTGAGTGTAATGACAATATTTGTATGTTAGTTTTTATTCGCTATAATAAATTCAAGTTTTTCTAGTGAATTTCAAATACCACTTGAATTTTAACAAAGACACGAGGACTTTAGATAATGAAAAAGTCAACAATTGTTTACAACGTTTTATGATATTATATAATATATTCTAGTACCATATATATGTCAATACAAACATACAGTATTTGTATAAAAATACATTAAGGTGTGTAAGTGTATACGAGAATCATTTGTAAAGATATGTGACAAATTAAAGGTCACCTACGGAGGACCGATTGATGCTATGAGAAAGTCTTTTTGATAAACAGTTGACAGGCTATTAGAAAACTGATTTTAGTAGTACCACATTTTTTTATTCGGCCTTTGCTATTTTTATTATTTGCAGAAGGTTGACAAACTATTTCATTGTAGATCCCCATAACTACAAAGATAAGGTTAATCATATATGTCTTTTTCAATTACAGAAATGTTAATTTTTTTTTTTTTTGGAATAAGCAGAACAGAGCCAAAAATCTCCAAGCTTTTCGTTAAACTAAACCCCTCTAATATTTTTGCGGAAAAAATAAGAAATATGTTTTTTACTTTCTTATATATATTGTACATAAAAACGATATATCATAATAATTATTATTATTAGACGCGTATACCCTTTTTTATATCTTCGATTATTCTTCATAGAACACAGTGAAAGTATTTTAGCATACAAAATTGTAAATTGTTCTTTCTATACCCTAAATAAGGTATATGAAGTTTGCAACACCCAGAAGGACCCATTTTGGCGACCCTATAAAGTATATACATATGTATACAAATGATCAGCGTGACGAACTGAGCAGATTTAGCAATGTCAGTATGTCAATGTATACACGAACTAGTCCCTAAGTTTTTACGCTATCGATCAGAAATTTTGCACCAGTCTTTTTCTCCATAATAAGCTACTCATTTTTCGGAAACGCCGATATCGGAAAACTATAGCATAAATCTGTCATACAAGTACAAACCAATCGATCAAAATCAAGAGCTTGCATGAAATTTTTTTTATTTGACAAGACATCTTCAGGAAATCTGGCATAGATTATTATCCAAGGCAACGGTAATATCTCCAAACATATTCTTTAGATCTATAAACTGATCGATCATAATTAAGATTCAAATATTTTTTTAATTAAGAATATTATAGCTTCAGCGCAGCCGAAATTAAGGATTTTTCAACTTTTCATTTTTATTACTCGACTTATGCACTAACTCCCAATACTTAGTGTTTATCCTGTAGCCCATCATTTCAAGCAATTTGCTATTAAAAATAACCGTAAATCGGTATTCTAAATCAAATCTTCAAATTCTGCTCAAGATGCTAATTACATAACTAACCATATATACATAAAAATGTTGTGTGTGTTTCGCAACTAACTGCTGCATGCGTAATTCTTCGAATATGTTTTTATTTATTTATAACTTTGGCATCAATTGCCAAAAACGCTCTAACACTATTGGCAAATAAATCAAAATATATCAATTTTCTTAAATTAGCACCTTTGTGCTACTTCCAGCTCAAACACTCATCAACTGTAGCTAGCGGTTAATTGGACTGATTTATCACTCAATTTTATCTTATCGCTGTGCATGGTATGAATGATATGTGTAGCAGAAAGAAAACAGCATTGATAACACGTACACAATTCCACTCAGCCGAAGCAAATTTGATGATAAGGTGTGATTTCTTGGTAGCTAATGAAAATATGGCTAGAATAGCTGAGCGATCAAAAAATTCCAGCTTAAGTCTTCAGTACAACATTGGCAATAATATAATGTGGATTGCGCGCATATTGCTTTGAAAAAAACAAAGAAACGGAAAATAAATACGACGCGAGTGTGTTGCAATATCGACGAGTGACAAAAAAATATTGTTTTCCAACGAGCATTCACACGAAATATAACGGTAAAAAAATGCAAGTGAATTGATGTCTACGTCGGCAGTACGGAAATTTCGAAACTTTATATGCGCTATTTGATGCTTTTATTATCGAAATTGGAAAACTAAAAAAAAAAAAAAATAGATCTTGAAAATGTTGAGCGCCTTCAGTACGGTTGTACCATACTTGAAATTCAATCCCACATATGTGATCGTCGACAATTTTGTTTTTAAATTGCATTATCGATGGACATTCATAATTTTGTTGGTGGCCACCATTTTGGTGTGCATGCGTCAATATTTTGGTGAACATATAAAATGTATAACGGACACCATACCGTCGCATGTCATAAACACATATTGCTTCTTTACGCCTACCTTCACGCTGGTGAGTGACATTTATCTCTACCGCTAACGGTAGTTTATTAGTGTGTGCTTATGTCAACTGTGTTATTATTATCAGGTGCGTCATCTAAATAATAGCGCTTTGGAGAAGGGCATCATATTTCAGCCTGGCATTGGACCTGAAGAGTCGCAACATGAAGAAGTCAAACGGCACGGTTACTATCAGTGGGTACCCTTTGTACTCTTCGGACAGGCATTGCTCTTCTACATACCGCATTCTTTGTGGAAAAGTATTGAAGGTAACTAATTTATTGAAATATTATATTATCGATTGTACGTAGGTCAATTTCCTACTCACGCTATGTGTAACCGTTAGTCGCTTATCACGTTGAATTGTTAGACAAGACTTTAGTATGTATAACAACTCAAATGATTATCAGATGTTATAAGAAAGCTTATAGCTTAGGTATCTATTGATAGTTTGATGAAATTTGAAAATGAATTGCCAATATTTTATTGCACATATGTAGTTGATTTTTAAATTTTCTCAACAGTCACTACAAGGTTAAATTCACAGAAGCTAATGTGTTGGTTCAAACCCCTTATTCATAGTAGTTTCCCCATTCTAGCACATAAAAACATCTCAGAAAACGGATGGAGAATTTTTGTTGATAACAATGTGGAAATGATAAGGTCTCTCTTCATGAGAGGACAAGTTTTAAAAACCAAATTTAAGCATTACATAACAATATTAAGTATCTAGCTTAGAAAACAAGGCTATCTTTACAATCAGTTCGACAATTTATGAGCAGTTTAAACGCCCCATGGCATCAAGTTAACTCACAACAGATTCCTTATAGGACTTATCAGACTCCGAGTTGTGAACTATTCCTTAAAGTCTTGTATTATTAAGAATAATTATTTAACCACATCTATAGCTATTGTAGCTTATAGAGTCTTTTCTAACATAGTTCAGTAAACAACAACTAGCTTGACTACGATAGCAAACATGACATACTCGGCACCCTCTTATCAAAATTGAACCGGACTGGCATAAAAAAAATCAATACTTTCATGTATTTTAAAACAAATAACTATCGCCTGGCTTTAAGAAAGGCTTTTATACACTTGTTATAAGCCTTGGCTGGGATGACCTTCAGTGCCTTCAGCGAACGACTTTCAATTGCTTCAAAGGAGTCATGGCGCATTTCTTGAAGCAGAATGTTTCGAACACAGAAACAAGTCACAGAGTGACAAATCTGACGAATACGGCGCTGAGCGATGAATCTCGTTTCAGGTTTGCCCAAAGAGGCACTCACAATCACGCTAGAATAATGCGCCGCCATTATTGTGGTGAAAAATACATGACCAACTCTTTGCGTGCTTTTTTGGTTTGGCCTTACTTTTGGAGCGTCATTCGGTAGATTTTTGGACAGTTTTGAGATGATATTCATAAGCCGAAATCTCATCACTAGTTATGATGGGTTTCATGAATGTAGGGTACTCAGCTACGCTGAATGATGCTTTATCATCTCTTTTGTGAATTCTACTCGACGTTGTTTTTGCAAAAGTATAGGTCTTTTGATACGTTCGTTTCTATATGTATGATATTTACTGGGGACCGAAAAAACGGAAAAATAGCATGATCCGAAAATATTCTACGGATCATTCTGAACAACTTTGCTTAAGAAACTAGAGGTCTAAAAATCGATTCAGTCAGCGGTTTTTACGGCAAAGTTTAGTTCTTAGGGACTACACAAATTTGTTCGTTAGTTTTTTTTTAACATATCCGAATGAAATTCGCCAGATCGGAAAACTATTGTATACATATAATTCTCATACAGTCGATTATTCAAATTTTTTATAAAAAAAAACATTCTAGTCATTATATCCTTTTAGATAACATTAAGCAACAAGTTGAATACCAAGTATTAATTTTTGAATTCTCTTAGGTGGCCGCATTAAGGCACTCGTCTTCGGTTTGCGTATGGTCGGTCTCTCGCAGTATTTAAAAAATGAAAGTCTTAAAATCGGAAAAATTAATATGCCTTCTATGGAGGAGACGGAGTCACGTGTGAAGAATATACGTCGTGCCATGATCGATCGTATGCGCATTAATCAATCGTGGGGTGCACATCTTGCTTTTACGGAATTCCTGAATTTGCTAAATATTTTATTGCAAATTTATTTGACAAATCGTTTTCTCGGCGGCGCCTTCTACAGCTTGGGAGTCAAAGTAATACAAGAGCGTTGGACCGATCAAATGGATGCTCTGGATGTGGTATTTCCGAAAATCACGAAATGTCATTTTCGTAAATTCGGTCCAAGTGGTTCACTACAGATACATGATACACTCTGTGTTATGGCATTAAATATCATCAACGAGAAGATTTATGCGATTTTATGGTTTTGGTATCTTTTCGTGTTGGTGATGACGATATTAGGACTGATTTGGCGTTTAAGCACATTTATGTTGTATAAAAAGTAAGTACATAACTATAACATATTTGTATATATAACTATAATATTGGTTATCATATAAGGTAGCTAGAGGAATCAAATATTCTATAAAAATACCCTCAGACATCAGACATTTTTACTAAGAAATTTTCATATTTTTTATTTCATTTTCGAATAGTCGAAATTCAAAAAATTACCCACATAGAACCCTATATATTTCAAGATTTACATTTATAATATATATTTATAAATTTCAGTGTTCGTTTTACAAAATTAACTTTCGCATATTTCGCACGGCCAGGTCGCATCGATGAACAAGAACTGGCCGCTGTGGTCGCGAAGTGTAATTTCTCGAATTGGATGTTCTTATTCTTTCTACGCAGCAATATTTCCGAGTTTCTCTTCAAACGTGTGATTTTTCATTTGGCTAGCGAGTTGCCCGATCCTGAGAAGGATAACAGTATTAACGCATTCTTGGACAGGGAGCATTCGGCTGCTAAGGCGGGACCAAGTGGAGTAGTACATGCAATGCATCTAGATGAAGTCGATACGCCGCTGCTAATTAGCAAAGACGGAGCTAAAGTTGATTAGAACTCTAAATGTTTTATGGTAGGTTTCATGCCAATTTAGATATAATTTAGAAGTCAACTACTTTTTTATAAAGTGTAGAATTTAAGTTTTCCATGTTTATTTATTTCCAATACTGTTATTTTCTAACACTAAATTTAGTTAAATGAATCGAAATCAAATAAAATAATTGAATCTAAAGCTGATTAAAGATTTTTCTTTGGGTTTGAAATATATTATAGCGGTAAAGTATGATGCGATGCAACAAAAAGTCTTACTGCAATGACGGCAAGAGAAATCCTGGCACCCGTTAGAGAGAAAAGCTAAGAAAGATGTATATTTTTAAGATAGCTTAAGACACTCACATAGTTCTAGAAGTTAAAAATAAAGAGCTTAATTGAACATAACCATTTAAAAATACGGCACAATTAGAGATTTCTAAGTACCAGATTTCTAAGATTGTCGGTTCTAAGTAACCGCAATAGGTCGGGACTTTTATGTTGCCAAGAATTGTCAACTCGTTGCCAATTCTCAAAACTATTTGGAGAATGTTTCTGCCGCCAATATAAAAGCAACTAACATACTTCCAATATGATACAGATAGATGAGTCTTCTCTCCACTAATATGCCAAAGAGTAGACGAATGAATTTTCAGAGAAACGATAACTTTTGAAAAAAAACAAATTACTCCTACACTATTGAATAACATAGGTCTTTATAGCGGCAATGAAACAAACAAAAAAAAAAAATTATCATAATCACAGCATAATTTTTCAAAGCTTTATGCTTGTATTCTAAGCTGCTAAAACAGCAATAACAACATTACCTGTAAATCTGATATAATAGTTTTTGAAATACTACATAAGCGACAAAAATAGCGCGACTGAGGTCATGACCACAATGTTTAAAGTTTTATTTTAAAACGCCTTAAAGTGACATTAGCAGCTATAAGAATGTATGATGAAAATAATCTCTAATAATTCGATAAATTTGTATTATGTTGATCCCCCTGTATAAAATATAATACAATAAATCGAAAACCAACTTGTATACAACTCTGTTGCGCAATTTGCCACTTTTCAAAGAAACGAGTTGCCTCAAATCTGAAATCAGTTAATTTATTATTTACAAAAAGTGCTTTTTTATATCTTGATTTATTTCTTTATTTAAATACCTGTCGAGTATTACAGTTATTTGGTATTTTGCCTTATTTTCTTTTGCTATTGAGTTTGGCTGTTTACCGTTTCCAAGCACGTTCCCAAACTGAGTACCGGACTCAACAATTCAGAGAGTTGTCTTTTTGACAGATCGCTTGAACGCGCGTGATTTGCATTTTTTGCACTATTTATTTTTAACTTTCTTATAATAATTTTTTGAGATGTTTATAGCCTGTAATTACATTCGCTAAATGTTAATTGTTCATTTAAAGAAATCCCATTTGCAAATGAAACCGGTTTTATTTATTATTATTATTATTAATGTATAAAGGCCAAGTCATGATTTTAACTCCGCCGAACAAAGAAGCATCTCTAATTAGTTCCAGAATCATATTTTTTGGAAAAGTAAAATAAAAATAAAATAACGGAAAAAATTAACAATATAAATCGGGATGTTTAAGTTTGCTATCAATTAATTATAAGTCGAAAAGATTAATTATTTAGAAAACAGGTCTTAAATTTTCAACTGGCTTACGAAAAAAATTAATTTAAAGTTTGCCTTTAGAAATGATTAGGGGAATAATATATAATATATATTCTTATTATTTATTAGAATCCGCTTATGTAAAAGTAATATAAAAGCTTTTAAAATTAGTAAAATTTGTATTTATAACTTATGGGGCACACCTAGGGTGACAGCGATTTTTAAGAATTAAAAAGCTGATGTATCAATTGTTTGAAAATTTTAACGGTACATTTATACATATTTTAAAAATACACAGTAAAATTTTTGGAGAAACAAATTAAATATTTTTTGAGCTACACGCAATCTCCGACGGCGCTTAAACAAAGGTCCTCCACTGTATGCAGTGATTCTGATCTTCTTCGTGGATGAAACCTCGAAAAAAATCACTCTTGAAGGTAATGTCCTTACAATGACTTATGGACGAAAACAATCAAGCATTAAAAACAGGGCGACGTTTTAAAAAAAATATTTAATTTTATATCAAATCAAATAACTGGTAAGTCATTGTATGCAGAACTACCATATATAATTCCTCAAGCAACTTTGGAAAATGCTGTTTCGAAAAAAACGCATTTAAAAATAAACTTTTAGGTCTAATTGAATTGAGTACTAAATTTTAGGAGGCTGTAACTTAAAAACTTTTTAAGATATCGATTTAAAATTATAGTATGTTATTTAACCTATCGATTTTTTGAAAATTTCACACTAGGTTTAGTCCTTCACATTTCGTTCATGAGTGTCTGAAATTCTCAATAAGCTTATAAAAAATTAAATTTAAAATTTATTTTTCCTAACACAAAGGAAAATAATATATAATTTATTGAAGACATAACATAAAAAAATTTTAATGAAGTCCGTTTATGTGAGAGTATATATGTATATTTGAAATCAGTTAAATTCATCTACTGTGGAAGAGCGACGCTTCAGCTGCTAGAAAGCTCATCTTGAGACAAAATTTCTAAATTTAAAAAATGTATTATCTCTTAAGGCTCCTGTCAAATGCTCTTGCTATTGGCTATAGCGGGAATGAAAAAAAAACACAGATGTTATTGCATTTCATTTCCGAATTCCATAGATAATGATAATGATTGAAATTTCGCCAAAATATCACATTAACGAAAATAGTTGTAAATGAATTCAAAATTGTAAAATAAAATGGGAAACAATTGAATAATAAGTCAACCCTAAGAAAACATAAAACTTTGCTTATGAAAATGTGGGGTTAGAACCTTGGGTACCTTAATTTAATTAGATACAACAATATTTCCGATGACGATTTTGGGAACCAATTTTTTAAACCTACTTATTTTTATAGAAACAAAACTAAGTCTCGTATATCCTGTCTCGAATCCCTTATAAATCGTGGCGATATCGCAGAAGCTATTTTGATACCACTTTTGATCGCCAATTTATCAAAAACTGTCGTGAGTTTTACTCCTAAAACGCAATAAGCAGCCATGTATACGAATAAGAGATCAGCCAAAGCTACAAAGTTCAATACGAATTAAAATCCACACTTAGCAACACGCTCTTTGTATGAAAAATCCTAAATCTGTTTGTTTAAATGTGTTTGTGTGTTAAAGTGTCTGAATGTGATTGCATTGAATTTTGAAAGCGGTTTCCAGTCCACACCAGCAGCTCTTGTAGGCGTTGTAAAACTAGCTTTGTCACACCTGCGAATATTCATACTTCAGTTTGTCATTTTGACTGTCTTCTTTTTATTCATTTATTTAACAGCTAACTATGAATTCGTCGTCTATGCAGCACTACATTTTTGCGGTCAATGGCAACTTGTTCGGCAACTTTTTATGGTATATCACCCAGGCGGTTATGCTTTTAGAGTGAAATAAAAATCTGTGAAAGTAAAAATAAACAAACGCAAAAATATTGCAAACTAGAGACAAGTCGAGCCATAACAAGACAAAAGAGTCGGACAAATTAAAGCACTAAATTTTTACAGCTTCTTTAAGCAAATCGAAGAGCTAAATAACGAGTTTCATTTAACGTTTGCATAATAAATGCATGAATCAAGTATTTTGAATATGGTCAATTCTTTTATCAATGACTTGATATTGGATTCCAATCAGACAAATTTAGAAGTGATTTTAAATGACAGAGAAAACTTGAAATTTGTTGTCTGTGAACATACATAAAAACTAAGTTATCTTCTTTTGAAAAATCAATAAAAAACCGAACGAGCTTTTTACTTGATCTAATATTTATATTAGCAAGCAAAATAAAGTATAAATGTTAGGAATTTCACCCTCTATACAGTGGTATTTCCTGCTAAATTCAGCGTCCATTTCGTCTGATTCATCAAATAAGATCATATACAAGGCACATTTCTTAAGATATGAAAATTTTAGAAAAATATTTATGTCAGTGAATGAGAGATGTCCCATTGATGAGAGAATATTTTTCTCACTAAACGAAAGATGCTTCATGCATATGTAAACCTCTCAGAACTCATCTTGATCCATAAAGAACTTACATCACAAACTTCGACAGCATTGATGGACGAAATTTTAGAAAAAGATTTATCTTACTGAACCCAACTAAACTTATCAGATCTCGTCCCGAACCAAGAAGCACTTACGATCATACCACTCTTCACCTTCTTCGACAGCAAAGATGAGAAAAATGTTAAAAAAAGGCTTATCTCATTAAAAGCATGACACTTCATAACATCTCCATACCACCTTACCAACTTCAACAGCATGTAACAGGGAAAGTTATACAAAAAGATTATTCTAACTATCCATAAAACTCTCAGGGCTCAAAGTGTTAAAAAAATTCATATGTCACTTTAAGACTAATAAAGATGCAAGAAGAACTTGCGCTCATACCACTTAACCAAATTAATTTGGGAAAAAATTACAAAATTAGGCATTTTGAATTTTAGAAAAAAACTTAGCTCACTAAATGCGAGATGTTTCATAGACTTTGCAGGACTCTTCCCGATTCAAAAAAAAACAAACTTGCGGTCACGCTAGTATTGACTGAGCTTATGTGTGACTCGTTCTTGGAAGAAAGAGAGTGGACCTCAAGCTACTTAGTATTACAGCTAATAGTGATTACTTTTTAGCTAACTACGGAATTATCAAGTCAGCAAAATTCAATAGCAATTTAAGCCGCGTCACCTCAACTAGTTTTGGTGGCACTTGATAAGCTTGACGCGTGATTTTTGATTTTCCATCTAAAGCATTGCTAAACACACGCTGTAAAACACGTAAAGCCCATTTAAGTACATTCCGCACGGTGCTTTTTTTCTTGCTTGATTTCTGAAGTTGTTAGTGATTTGGAGTTTTCATGATTTTAGCGACAAGTTTCGTTAGGCTGAAAGCAGGCCAACACGATAAATAAATAAAATCACGAAAATACGAGAAGAAAAAATTCACAAAATTTGTCACATCAGCAAAAATGTTGAAAAAAAGATTAAGCAGAGCTTTATATTTTACCAACTACAAAGACACGCTACCAATTTCACAGACATACATACATACATACATATTTATATAGAAAC